TATTTAGATATTTAATAAAAAAGAAAGTGAAATAAATGAATAAGAAAACGTAAGGAAGCATATGTCTGTCGGAGTAGAGAAGAAAAAAAAAACTGCGTTTCTTCTTCGATCTACCTTTAAGTCAACAAAAGAATTTAGTACGTAGTAGTCAGTCAATGAATATGATGTAATCAAGTAAAGTAGTTGGCCGAGCACAGCACATCCGGGTTCAAAGCATCTTTTGATTTAACGAAGAGAAAAAGAGGGAGAGAGAGAATAAGAAAAGAATTGTGCACATAAGAAAGAAGAGGTGTCACACAAAGGACCCAGCGTCCAACTAATAAGCAATACACAAACACACTACGATCTTTCTCTCGTCTACTTACTTATTGAATAGAGAATGAGAGTGAAAGAAGAAGAAGAAGGAATAGAAGCTGGTCAGTAGAATAAATATACAAAAGAATTGCTTTTTAGTTGCTGTTCATTATAAAAGAAAATGATCATGATTTCCGCACATATACAATGACACTACTAACTAACGTATAGATAATATCAAATGATTATTTTTCTTCAAATGAATTTATATGATTAAATATATAATATATAACATTTAGAAATCAAAAAAAAAAAAGAAAAGATAATTCTTTGGTATGCAAAAGAATGTTAAGATAATAAAATGATCTCATGTTTGATCAATGTTTTTTTCACATTCTAAACATATTTGACCAAAAAAATTAATCAGATTAATTTAATAAATTAACTCACTCCGCCTTGTTTTACTACATATCATGTGAAGTTTTCAGACTAGACATACATACTGAGATGTGTTAATGACAATAATTATACAAAGAATGTTTGGATCATCAGGAAGTAATGCCGGTAAAGTTCAAAGAATCAAGTCTGCTCATTCATTTATATATATATATATAAGAAAAACAGCTGACCTTGCGCTTATTCAATCGTTTTTTTTTCTCTTAATAATATGTCGAGACAATGTTCATTACTCTTGCAACTACTCAACAGAATCAGACACAATAATTCTTTCTTAATGATTAATATCTATATACAAATAAAAACTCATCATGATCTAACCAACTCAACACGTACAAGTAAAAACAGAAAAGAATACTTACTTAGTTATATATTGATGTCTTTGTTTCATCTTATTATTGTCAAAAATGATAGATCGAAAATAATATATAATAGAGAAGATGAGTGATGACGATCCTACAATAACAATTTATACGATAAAAAAAAAAAAAAAAAACTAACAAGACAAATATTTAAATATACAAGGTTATATAGAAGACGAAGAAGAAGGAAAAAAAAGACAAAACTTATATTGTGGGAAGACAAAATGATCAACATTATCAAATTGGCTTCTATTGTTTTGCTTTAATTCATATAATAATAATCATATAAATTCGATACGGATACTTACATCATTAAGACAATTTAATTTTTGATTGAATATTGAATAAAAATTTTAATGGATAAAATGATTTAATAATATTTAATCTTTAATAAAATATACATATTTGTGAAATAAGAGAAAAGATCATTATTGACTGTCTCGAAATTTTCAAGGATATGATTTCTTCTTTTTTTTTTTTTTAGTAAGTACTTATTCAATATAAAATAACCATTAGAATAATTCATTTATAAAGATAATAATTGATTTGATACTAAATAAAAAAATACTTAAATTTTTTGTCATTCTATTATCATATGTTTCATCTTTACATCATACTGATTTTTACTCATCAGATGTTATATATGAGACAATATCAGTTCTTATCTCTAATATAATGTCAATTGTTTTATACGTAGAAATCTTTCGAACACTTGAACCATATAAAACTTCTGTTCAATTCAATTGTCTATCAATGTGATGACTCTCTCTCATCATTATTATTATTATTACGTATTTCATATACATATACGTACAGACAAACATACATATAAAAGAAGAAAAGATTTGATATGTCAATTGAAATTGAACAATATGTTGCCTCGAGTGTAGAAAATATTTGTTTCATAAATAAAGAGAATATCACGAACGAAAGATTCAAGTATAATTATTATTATTATGCATAGGATTAAGCATATATATATATATTGATGGTATTCATTTGCATTTCATAATAACTTGTTATCATTTTATCAAAATTTTAATTTCATTTCGCAAAGATGAGAGAGAAAGATATAATTTTTCTATTCAAGAAAAATTCAATTATGACTCACTGAAAAATCTCAATCATAGACAACATTTTTTCATGTCATCATTATCACATATAACACTCTGTTGCATCGATGAATTCTTTTTTTCTTTTTTATGTGTGTCTGCTGAAAAATAGAACAGAGTGTGTATTCTCTCCATCTGTTACTTGTCTCTGCTATTAAAATCAAATAGAATATTTCTCTTATGCTTGTAACAAACATCTTTTACGGCTATTCAATTCACTTTAGTGATCTACTAATGAAATCGATGTAATGAACAAAAAGAAAAAGAAAAACACATTCATATACAAAATATATCTAGACATTCATTATCGTTTTGAATTCGTGTTAAATGTATCATAAAATGAAATAAAGTTTTATTTAAAAAAAAAAAACAATAGAAACTTTTGATTTACAAACAATACCAATACTATAAATTCGAAAATAATCGATAGTTAAAGTAAAAATTTTTCTATAATAGTGTAACTAATAGAGTTCATAGATATTTTGATGCGTTTGTTTTTTTATTTATCTTGATATCAGCAATAAGAATAAAAATAACACGTCAAATAAATTCTAAAGATGATGCTGCGATAAACAATAAAAAATATCGAAATGTTATGTTGATTATATACATAAACTGTTTATCAAGTGTTAGCTGCAAGAAAATTTTTTGTCTAAGTTTAATAGTCCTTTCGAATGCTGCTACTAACCCATCTTACATATTATTCAAGCAATTTTGATGATGCTTGGTCCGGTTGAATCTGAAATGTACTTCATGGGCTTTAGTGTAATCAGATGAGATTTAGTCTTCCCATTCTCCAGATGCATGACTATAAAAGGACTGAGTTCTCTCTCAAGTTTTTTTTTCCTGATTACATAATTTAACAATTCATAGGAGTACACTGCCTGACATCTACTATGAAAAGTAAACTTTAGTTACTAAAATTTTTGCTTAACCTTTTTCGAAAGATAAATGATTATTCGTTCATCGAAACTATAATTGAAGTTACAATAATGAAATACTATCAGTATATATTACAACTACTGATTATATTTTAGATGAAAAACATTTTTCTAGAAAACGAACTTTTTGAAAGGATAGCACACAGTTTTGAGTAGATGAAGAAATGTAAAAAATTCCACAGATGTCAAAGGTATAGATATCTATACCTGAAAACTATCAAGGAATTGATAGATTTGTATGATCTTTTTCATAAATTTCGAAAAAATTCATCTAAATTACCAGAACCTTATCCCATTTTTAGTTCATGAAACTGTAGAAGGTAATCCAGATTTTGTAGATATACCAGGTAATTGTCTATTAGTATAAGATAGTTAAGTTTATCAAGAAAAAATTACAACAAATTCGTTTATTACTTTATAGATGTAAGTTTTTTTCATTGTCTAAATCAATTAAAATGCTTTATGTTGATCTATTGAAGACAAAACTTAATTCTTTAGATGTTTCAGTTAAAGTACAGAATTTATCTAATATTCAGTCCTCTATTTTTTTTAGAACATGTCTAAATGTCACAACACTTGATATGAATTGTTCGTTATATTTTCATCTGTTGAAAATAGAGTTGCAAGTCCACAAACCACATATTTATTTGTAAATGATAAATTAATTGAGCCATATTATTCTCGACGAAATGTATCATACGAATAACGAAAAAAAAACAGTTGATCAAGAAACTTAAATATGAAACATAGTTAAGTTATCTACTTCTCAATGATTTCTTTTTGAATAATTTGAAAATTGTAAATATTACCTCAACACTATTAGAAAACGCCAAATTTCATAGAAGAAATATGAAAGTATATTATTACATAGACTTTGTACTATATTTTGTGCAGAAATATGTATTAAAGAATCTAAAATATTCATCGAAGAATGTTTGTTAACTGATAAAAATTGATAATAATAAAGTTTCGTATGTAACTTGAATCATTACATTTTATATGACATACTGATTAAGTAAAACTAATAATGACATGCTATAACAAATACAAGATGCTATTCGATGTAAATAGTCACATACGTATAAACCACTTGAATATATGCTCGTTATTTGAACTCGTTATTAGGCCTACAATGGTGTTTTGGTTAGATTAATAAGAATCTAAATGTGTTCGTTTCCATGATTCTTTAAAACGAGAATTTTCGGGCAAGTTTTAAATATACACTGCAAAATTTCATATCGAAATACTAGTTGTTGATTTTTCAGTATAGATCTAATACACGATTGAAACTTCAGTCAACCAATTATAACTTCACTTTTGAGACACATAATAAAAAATTCTTTTAGACTAATGTTATTTTTACTAATACATCCTTGTAAATCCAATATGACCTGTAATATTGAATGTTTATTTGAATGGCTTCTTTGTCTCGAGTCTTCATAACTTTTGAATGTATGTTCTAATGTTAAGTTTTATCTACAGGAATCAATTTATTTGAATCGTAATATTTTTTTTTTTTCTTATACATTTGAAATTATAATACATAGTCGGAGACTGTTTACATGAATTTAATGATATGCATTCATAATACACAAAACAAAAATTAATTATGACTAGTAGACAGTCTGTCTTGTTTTATTTCAGAACATTGTGACATTTTTTTGTTAAAGACCTTCAATATGTTTTGTGTATTTGCACTTGTCGAACAAAGAAAAGTTGTTTTTTTTTGGCCACTTGCCAATTTAGTATTATTCAAATAATTGAAAAAGAGAAAAAAAAGTTCATAATAAAATGCAAAACTTACAAAACAGAAAAAAAAAAACAGAATGACGCAATCAACTAGGTTTTACACTTGTTTGATGTCTAGTACCGATAACATTTATATTTTGAATATCAAGTTCATATTGATCTGATAAAGCTGACATTGGATTAAAATTTACAGGTATTGATACCGGATGACAATGAAGTTGTTCATTTATGGATGATGTTTGACAGAGATTCGATTTATTATTGAAGACATTTAAAACAATTGATGAATCAATACACATGGGTATATAATGTGTACCAGATGGATGTAAAGCAAATATTGGCACTTTTGTTTGTTGATTTGAAGTATTTTGTGCATCTATAGAATTTTGAAATGTATGATTATCTTTTTCTGATTTGCTTATGTCAGATATAGAAAATAGATTTTCATGTGAATTTGATTTATCACAGTTTATTGATGATGATATTTGATGTTTTAAATCGTATTTTCTATCACGTATAACTAAAATACAAGAAAAACAAAAAAATGATTTGAAATTTTTGTTAGATTTATTTTCTTTTTGTTTTTTTTTTTTGTTGTTATAATTCTAACCGGTTATATCTTTTAATTCAATTTCTTTTTCTTTAATATATTGAAATACATCAGTCAGAAGTTGTTTATCATTTGTATGTTTTTCTATATGTTCATATGTATCACAAATTGCATTGTAATATCCAGAACGATATGCATCAAGTTTTAAATTTGATTTTTTATCAAAACTAAATGGTTCAACTAGGATCAAAATTTAAAAAAAAAAGAACAGTATAATTCAATAGAAAGATAAATAATTATTTTAATATACATGTTTTTTGATTTGATGATAATAAACAACGAATATATTTAACTGCCATTTCAACAATTTCAGTTTTTTCAATACGACGTTGATTCTAAGAATATTAGAAAAACATTCGAATAAATAATATGAGAGAAAAAAAAAAAATTAATTTATACTTCAGGTTTTTTATGAGGTATTAAATTTAATAAAACATCAAGACTACGATTCATTCGATCTCGACGACGTTTTTCAATTAATCGATGAGATTTTGAATTCTAAATAAAATTAAAAAAATTATATAGAAATCATATTATATTAGTTTATAACTAACTTTCATTATATTGTCTTTCAATTGTCGATGTGTCATATGTTCATCATCTGTTGTACCAAATTTTGAATGTCTATTATAAATAAATACAGTTATATTTATAACTATTCAATTCATTTTATACCTTATTTGACTATTGAAATCTTCATCAAATGAATCACTATCTATTTCATCATCCATGACAATTGCTAATGTCGCTGGTGATAAACATTTGTTAGATAGATTTTTATTAGACATGGTAAGTTTTTTTGACGGCATTGTCTAAAAATGTCGATGATTATTCGTATCAGTTATATGTTGTGATTGACAAAGGAAAAAAAGGGAGCAACTAAACATTAATCACGAGCAAGCTGACATAATAAAGTAAAAAAATTCATATGCATTGTTTTTCATGTTGAAAGAGGGAACACAAAAAAACGACGAATGATGGCATAAGCTTAGAAGAGATGCACGAGAGAAAATAGTGAATGTGTACATTATTCTATCCTTTCTCGTTCTCTATAAAGTATCACATGCTACTCGTTTTACTTAATAACACCAGTTATGTTACTCGTATATATTGCATCATAAAGCACATACATATCCTTGCATGTGATAATAGAAAAATATGAGTAAAACAAAAAAAAACATAAATACATGTCTCTATATATATATATGTGTGTATAGATATAAGAATGGTTATTGGAACTCTATTTATGTGAATTAAAATGATTTCACCTGTTATGACTACTAAGAAAAATAATAATCAAAAAAAAATCTCCCTCCTGTCTGACCTTTTTTTTTTTCGTAGAAAAGTAGAGATGAATCAATTGTTTTTTTTTCTCTTTTTTGCTTTCATGAGTTATTATTTAAGCGTCAGACTTTTAACGGTTCTATGGACAATAATAATGACTAAGATGGGAAAATTTTCTTTTTGTAGTTGCCAAGCTCACCCATCCAAATGACAAGTAGATGAGCGAGTGGCAAAAGGACATGGTATGCTTTTAAAAAAGAAAGGCATTATTTTTTTTTATCGTCTATGACATTTTTTTTCGTTCTTTCATTTATGTGCTGGTTGAAAATAACATAAGTGTTCTCTTGTTTTCACATTGTAAGGAAAGTTATTTTCAACATTTTTAAAATGTATCATACTTTTTTATTTAATGAAAATACTATCAATGATAGAAAAAAAACTACTAAAGCAATTTTATATTATTCGGATTGACTAGTTTATTGTTACGTTTAAGTTAATCATTTGAATAAGAAATTAAGAAGAAAACAATATTCATTCAAATAATCTAAGAGTTTATATTTTTTGTTTGTCTCAATTTATTTTAAGGTCAAAATGTTTGAAATTGAAAAACTACTTCTTTTTTTTTGTTTTTCCTTTCAAGGTTAAATAACTTTAAGAAGCTCGATCTTTCTTAAGAATCTGTGAAGGTAAAAGACTAGATAATTGATATGATATTTAAAAGGTTATAGAGTAGACATGATCAAAAACTATACTAGAGAATCTATTTCAAGTAACTCGAGTTGGACAAAGAAAAAGAAAATTATTATGTCTCAATTTTTATAATAAAAAATAAAAGTTTCTTCAGTATAAAATTTTTTTTTTAAATAAAAATAGACTCTATGTCAACAGTAGATTGTTATGTAAAATAAGCTATTTTTCTTCTGCGCAAGATTTTTATATTGAATTATAAGTTTCTATGAAAACATTTTTGTTCTTGAAATCGATCTTTATAAGTGATATAGTATTTGTATAAAACAATAATACTTTATTGAAACTTAAAAAAATTTGCACTTATACGTTGTTGTCATTTAGATATTTTCATAACCATGAAATTGAATAGCTACTGTGATAATATAATAGAAATATAAGATATCAACCATAAAAAATAATCTCGTACTAATTAATATTTTTTTATTGAGATTTTTTATGTTCTTTTGATAGGATTTTTGTTTTGCTTGAACAATGAAAAGAATAATGATTAATAAGTAAAACAATGATAAAAGCCATTATCGTATGATTCTTTTTTTCTTTCGAACGTTTTTTTCACATATAAAATTTCTTTTTGTTCTATTTGCTTTTACCTGTCTATTGTTCGTTTTGTAAAAGTGCCATGGCTGCTTAACAAAAAATACCATCGTTCGTCAAACATATTCAAGCATAAAATATGTTCACAGATTAAATAAATAATCCAAATCTTATATGTTAGTAACTCACAAAGAAATGTACATGCTAGAATTAAATAGCTTAATAACTTGTCAAGGACAACAGCTAATGACCTATGATTCTTAATAATCGAAAGAACAGAACCATGGGTATCTTTTTGTTTGATACTACATTAATACAACATCAGTTTATACACAATCATTTTTGCAAAATAGTCAAATGTATGCTTAATATTGTGATATGAGAAAATAATTGGCTGAAATCGTGTCTATCTGAAGTATATATCAAAATCAAAATGATATCTAAGCAAAACATGATATCTATAGATTTTTCTTGAATATTTTGCGAAGATAAGCAATTTTAAAATAGCTTTGTCTTATATGCATATAGAAGTGTAAGTCAGGATCCTGTAGGCTAGGATATATGGCATGAGAAACTAGTACAAATCGATCGACTGAGCCATCCTCATCATCTTTAGCTGAATTTTCATTTCTATAGTTTTATATATAGACCCGGTTGTAAAATACTAGCGGGAAGTTTTTTTTTTGTCCACCGAAAACTTTTCTTGATCTAATCAAAGTTTATTTTGCTTGCAGGAAACATGACATTGTTGTCTGTAAAAGTTTTTATAAAGGCGTACTAGTGATGCAACACGTGTCATCAAGATCTATCAAACTTTATGTCGTACTTTTAGTTTATATCGATTATTAATGACTTTAAGGATTATGATGTTTTTTCAAAACTTCCGTATCTCCATCGCCTTTACGATGAATATGGAAAACTCTCTTTCTTGTTCTTCCCTGATCAGATGGAAAAAAATCGGCACTAGTACAATTCGTCGCACGACAATTCGTCGCACGATCAATTCGTCGCACGACAATTCGTTGCACATGTATTGTAGAGAATACACTGATTGAATTAAATGATTTTGTTTAGAATGTTATCTAATTAATCGCCTAAACAAAAAATTTTTCTTTAGACTCTTAGGAGTCTTTTTCAGAATACAATGGTTTTTCAAAAATAAAATGGAGATATCAATTTAAAGTCTATTTTAAAATTTAATTTAAAAAAATTGAAATTTGATTTTAAATAAAATTCTATGTAGATAAATGAAAAATACAACTTATTTTTTCCAATTGAAATTTAACTTTTTATTTAAAAAACGCTGAAAATGAAAACAAAAATATTAAATTGAAAACAAATCTTACAAATCTAAATTAAAAAAAATAAAGTTTTTTATTTACTGAAAACATGAATTTTAGGGGTCAAACAAACTAGAAAAATTAAAACTGAATTAACCACTAATTCGTCTTAAAAAGATGATTTAAATTTGAATTAATCAATCACGATATTTAATTCAGTTTTTATTTTTCTTGTGTGTTTGACCCCTTAATGAAAGAAAAATGAAATTTATTTTTAATTTGTCTACATATAATTTTATTTTAAATCAAACTTTAATTTTTTTAGATTAGATTTCAGAAATTTTTTTCGATTTTATATTTTTGTTTTAATTTCCAGCTTTTTTTTAAATAAAAAGTTAAATTTCAATTGGAAAACATGAATTTTATTTAAAATCGATTCTCAATTTTTTTAAATTAAATTTTAAAATAGACTTTAAATTGATATCTCCATTTTATTTTTGAAGAACCATTGTATTCTGAAAAAGACTCCTAAGAGTCTAAAGAAAAATTTTTGTTTAGGCGATTAATTAGATAACATTCTAAACAAAATCACTTAATTCAATCACTGTATTCTCTACAGTACATATGCAACGAATTGTTTTGCGACGAATTGATCGGTCACCAAAAAATCAGTGGGTCACAACATTTTAATTTTGAACGTCGTTTCGATCATTTCTTTTGCATAAATGGTATATTCAGATTGCAAATCGTCCATATTCAGTAACGGTATAAAATATCGTTCTAAATCTTCGATGAAATACTCTTCAGAAGTTTTGATGACTGAAATAGATTACAACAGGCACACCTACATCGTTAAAATAAGAGTGATGACGAAATTTGAAGCACCAAGAGAGTTCGGTTTTCTACATTCAACCATCAAATTATATTCTTGTGATCGAGTATGTGTACCTATAATTTACATTTATGTCAATGAGGAAATATAAAGTGTTCATAATAACAATCATAAATACATTTTATTTTGTTTTAAAATCTATAAAATGATCTGTTCGTTATTTTCAGATTTATAAATCAAATTATATTTTATGAAATTATTTGTGATCATATTGAGTTAAATCAAACTATTCGTATAGCTTATCTAATTATTGACACAGGTAGTATTAAACTTGATTGATTTCATATTGCATTTGATGCTTAGAAAAGAATCCTTTCCAGTGATAAAACGCTTATGAGACAAGACTTGTGTCATTCGGTAAAGTCTATTAACGCTAGGTAGAAACTATAACGATTCGTGCTCTTATTCCTTTCTTTTCGAGTTATGCCAAGTTTACTGAGTTTCTAACTAAATGCAGAGTATGTTATTATTTCGACCTAAAATTTCTCTCACAAGAGGATCTTATCAACCCCATTATGTGCCGAAAATGTTCAATCAGAACGAATGTTCAATCAGAACGAATGTTCCCTTCTTAATATATCATATCGTCTGAAAATGCACATATTTTACAAAATAATTTAGCGAAATCATGTTTTCTTTTAAATTTGTTATTTCATGAAGAGTACATTTGTTCTAGCTGAAACTTTCGATGTATGATAGATTTTATAAGATAACTTAGTAGGTGAAATTTCAGATCGAAATGATGACATTAAATTTTTTCTGATATATCCTGACTAGACTTCTGCAAAATGGTCACGGTCACGGTCACGGTCACGGTCACGGCCTCTCGTGACTAGTTTTCGAAAAATTGTCGTGACTGGGATCGTGACCGTGACCAAATAGCTCGTGACCGTGACCAAATAGCTCATGATCGTGACCAAATAGCTCGTGATCGTGACTTAATGGTGAAAAATTTTGAGATTAGAAATCTAATTTTTGTGAAAAAAAATCAAGATTTTAATTGATTTACGTGTTTTCTGCGTTTTTTACAGAGAAAATATGTGAAATCAATATAAATCTTGATTTTGTAGCACAAAAATCCAGCTAGTAATCCAAAATTTCCGTGACCGTGACGTGACCGTGCCTAGTTTCGAAAAATTTCCGTGACTATGACCGTGATCGTGACCAGGCAGCTCGTGACCGTGACGTGATCGTGACTAGTTTCAAAAAAACTCCGTGACTATGAACGTGACCGTGACCAGGCAGCTCGTGACCGTGACGTGACGTGACTGAAAAAACGTGGTCACGCAGAAGTCTAATCCTGACCTATTAAGCCAAAAACTCAGTGCAATGGTCATAAGTCAAAAAGAAGTCAACAAGACGATGAATCATTATAAACCTTTTTGTCTACTCACAATATATTCTATCTAATGACACAGATCTCGTAGCGAAAACTTTTTCTTAATTGGAAAACTTTCCTCGTCAGATTATTATTATAATCTAAAAGAATTTAGATCAATAGTTACGAATTCTTTTTCTACATATTGAAGCTTCGACGAATACGAAGACAATATTATCGTTTAGAGATTGCAAATAAAAATAAATACTAAGAAACATTTTATCTAAATATGAATATAAATATAAATGAGTATATATAAAAACAACAGAAACAAATAGACACTTCACGATCGCCTACAATTACTTTCATTCTTACTGATATAGAATCTTCTACAATTCAATCACAAGATAACCTTGGAAGCTTTTGGATAAGCGTAAAAACTGCAGATCATACACACATTCATAATTACCTAAGTCTTGTTGTAAAAGATAACGATAGTTACTTTCATATTTATTTGTAAAACATTTGATTTAATTAAAAATCTAAGTAACCATAGATGTCCGCTGTCACAAAGAAAGGCTATACCTCCATTAAAAACAAAAAGCTGTTAGAGAAATTCATCTGGAATAAAAATGTGTGCATGATGTAGCTGCTATTGATAATTGCAGGAAGAGTGTTTTATTCTATTTATTTTGGGACACGTTTCTTCACCAACCTCTTCTTCAATCTATCAAGTAATTCATTTATTCTAATAAGACGTTACTGCTATAAGATCTTTGATTATATATCAACGTCTGTCCGAATCTATGACACAGAAGTATGGACGGACGCTACTAAGCCATTTGTCAAGTCCTGTGACTTTTCTATGTTTATGCCTGTCATGGCATGCGATGAGAAGGATTGACATTGTTGGGGATGCCTGTGATAAATAGTTTCCAATGTATCTCTGAAGGCTTGTTGATCGCATCCGTCATGGTCTATGAAGGGAGGGATGCAACAATATAAATTTATACCCTATATAATTACTTCAACACTCCTCTTAGATTGTGTTTCACAAATTACAGCCCATGATAAGTGTTGGTATGATAATCCTTTTTTTGTGGCTTTGCTGGTGTCAGTAAGTCCGTGCAGTTTTTAGAGACATCTACGATAAACGCGTGAAAACGAAAAACATATAAAACTTTTTTATTCGTCCAAATGTGAATCATGGACGTTGTTTTAAAAACAATTAAAAATGTACAAAAATATAATAATGATAAACTTTTAAGATGAAGTTTTTTTTTAATATACAGTTTTTTCGAATAAATGATGTTAATTTACATATTGATTATACACTATTGTTAATTTATTTTGTATTTTTTAAGATAAAGATTCTGTAGATTCATATTGAATCATATTATTAATATTGCCATCACCAGCATTATTATTATGTTCTGTTGCACTGTATTGAGCTTGTGCAATCGTATGAAACTAATAATAGAAAAAGAAAAAATTAAAAAAAAAAAACAATAAACAAAACGAAATTTTTTTCTCACATACCGATGCACTAAATTCGAAAGGACTTTCTGGACGACCTTCAGCTCGTTGTCGCAATTCAATATCAGCAACCATTTCACGTCTTTGAATAGTAACATTGGCACGTTCAAGAGCAGCAGGAAATTTAATATCATTTTCAATTTGATGGTATCGTTTTATGATCATATTTGTCATTGATCGTCTAACATTAAGTACATTTGCTAAATTTTGTCTAATAGACTCACTGATTGGTTCATTTTCAATAAGTGTAACTTTTGTATCATATTCATCAGCTGCAGTAACATCATCTGATTCGTTTTCGAAGAAATATTTACTGGCTGAATTTTCTATATTAGCTTCATTTCCAATCAGATACAATCGAATTGATGAAAGCTTTTTTACATAATTACACAAAATATCAGCATATGGATTTTCATTAAAATCAATACGTTCATTTGATGGTAAATAATCATACAGTGTACAAACTGTTGGTTCATAATCACCACATAAGTTGTAACCTAAGATAAATAAAATAAATTCTTTTATAAATAAAAATTTTTAATGATTCATTACATAAATGTATAAGACGTTCTTGAAAATCATATAAATTTTCATCAGTTGTATTTAATGGAATAATTAATACATGACAAGCATTTATCTAGAATTTTTTTTTTATGAATATATTTAATCTAATCAAATAATCAAACAGTACCTTTCCAGTTGTAATACATTGTTGTTTGAAAAATTTAGCTTTCTCTTCAAAAAAACGTGCAGGAGCAATCTCATTCAAGGCGAATAATCTGCTACATGTCTCTTCACAAAATTTGACAACAGCTAACTTTATTTTATATGCCATAAGTTCTTTGATAACAGGAAATACATTATTACCATGAAATATTAAATTAGACCTTGGATTTACGCATATAAAAATTGCAAATACATGATGTTGTTTTCTTAAATCTTCTAAATATATATCCGTATTTGGATCATTGAAATCACGAAATAATAAAATAAAAGAATATGACTTTGATCGAGTAATTACATGACTTTGAAGCTCGTTAATATTAGAAAAAGTTTGATGATCTATACCAGGGAGACAGATTGCCGTAAGTTGAGAGTTGGTGGGTGACCGACATTCTGCTATTTGAAGAGTGGACAGCATTCTAAACGAATATATTTCTAAAAAAAGAACAAATTTAGTTGAAAAAAAAATTTCCCTGTCAACGGTTTTTGTTTTGGCATAATAACAAGTTTGTTTGATAGGAAGTAAAAGAAATGCGTGAATGACTCATCCATGTTGGAAAAAAAAATATTATCAATCTTCGTTTTTTACTCAGTTAAAATATGATTCAAAGAATAAAAATATAATAACTTTTTTGAGAAAATAAACATAGAATTTATAATCATATCATTATTGAGATTTGTGTCTCATAAATGAATTAATTTGACTTCCGATTTCGCTTTTCTCTTCTGTAAAACAAAACGTGATTCATATTGTTTCAGCAATAAAATATTTTTATATGATAACTAATATGGTCTCAAGAATAATATTTAAAATGTTAGAAAATGATTTTCGTTACAAAAAAGTGTTATCTAAGGTTTACGTACATATTATTTGGTATATAAAAAAATTTTTTATTGGTTTGCATTTTTATATGATTACCTGTATGACCTTATTTCTCATCGTACAAGACAGAAAAAAGCAAAGCACACTTCGGTGCCCACATTTTAATATTCCAGCAATAGTAACCTTCTTTTATTGCTGTACTTACATCATACTTGAATAGAATTTCTTAAGATATTTTTAAACATCGTTATGTTTGTACTGAAAGTTACGTTTAAAAAAAAAAGCCTATGAGAATTATAATAATCAAAACCATCAAATCTCGGTGGCCTCAGCAATTTTGTGCATTTTTTTGACTTTAATCGTCACGTAAAAATTAGCAAAATAATAATGAATGCTTGATTAGTTTAAACCACTGTAATCCAACTGAACACAAAAACCATGCAACCAGCAATCGTTGCCTGTATGATATTTGTTTTGAATTCTATCTTTCTTTACAGTTTGCCGATATCGGTCAGTCTTTACTGGTTTTAAAAGTACGCAAAACAAACACATGCAAATTAATATTGCGTGAAACGCAATTTATTTTTCATCAGAGCATAATTTATGGACGGCGTTTTTAAAACAATTCAAATCATACAAAAAAATAATGCGCACTAATAAAATTGATATCGATTTAAATATGCTTTTACACAATCACTGAATATTTGTTTGATATTTAAATGAAGATGAAGGTTGCATAGTTCAACGTTGAATCTCATCGTCAATGTTTTCATTATTACCATCATCAATATGTACCATAGCATCGTCTTGAGCTTGTCCAATCGTATGAAACTGAGAATAATAAAAAAAAAAGAAAATATTGAAAAAAAAATAACGACTTTTTGTTATTTACATACTGCAGCACTAAACTCGAAAGGACTTTCTGGAACAGCTATTATTCGTTTTTGTAGTTCAGTATCAGCAATTATTTCACGTCCTTTGAGATTTGCATCAACATATTCAATAGCAACAGGAAGTTTAATATCATTTTGAAGTTCATCTAATCGTTTTATTATCACATTTGTCATTGGTCGTCTAACATTAAGTACATTTTCTAAATTTTGTCGAATAGATTCACTAATGGGTTCGTTTTCAATAAGTGTGTATTTTTTATTATATTCATCTGCTACACCATTATCGAACTCATTTTCAAAGAAATATTTACTAGTTGAATTTAGAATATATCTTTCATTTCCAACGAGATAAAATCGAATTGGTGAAAGCGTCTTTACATAATTAAAAAGAGCATCTGCATATAGATTTTCATTAAAATCAATACGTTCATTTGACGGTAAATAATCATACAGTGTACAAACTGTTGGTTCATAATCACCACACAAATCATAAACTAAGATAAAACAAAAGAAATTCTTTTATAAATGAAAATTTTTAACGATTTTTTACATAAATGTATAAGACGTTCTTGAAAATCATATAAATTTTCATCCGTGGTATTCAATGGAATAATCAATGCATAACAAGCGTTGATCTAAAACTTTTTTTTATGAATATATTTAATCTAATCAAATAATCAAACAATACCTTTCCATTGGTAACACATTGTTGTTTAAAAAAATTAGCTTTCTCTTTGAAAAGATTTGCAGGAGCTATGTGATTCAATCTAAGTAATTTTTTAGATGTGTCCTCAAAAAATTTAACAACACTTGACTTTATTTTATATGCTATAAGTTCTTTGATAACAGGAAACACGTTATCACCATGAAATGCTAAATTACATTTTGGGTTTATACATATAAAAATAGCAACAACATGATGTTGTCTTTTTAAATCTTTTAGATATACATCCACATTGGAACCATTTAAATCATAAAATAATAAAATAAAAGAATATGAATTTGATCGAGTAATTACATGACTTTGAAGCTCGTTAATATTAGAAAAAGTTTGATGATCTATACCAGGAAGACAGATTGCCGTAAGTTGAGAGTTGGTGGGTGACCGACATTCTGCTATTTGAAGAGTGGACAGCATTCTAAATGAATATATTTCTAAAAAAAACAAATATTTGGCCTTTCGTCGTTTGTTTTTATATAATAACAAATTATTTGTTTACTAGGAAGTAAAAAACATTATGAGTAACACCTACGAGTTGGAAGAAAAATCTTTTTATTGATGTTGGTTTTACGCAGATAAAATAGAATCAAAAGCATTTGAATGCGAAAATCTTTTTGCGCAAATGAAAATATAACTTCTAGTGATATCATTTTTGAAGTTCTTCTCTCATAGATGATATTTACGTCGAGCAAGATGAGTCAATCTGACTTCTAGTTGTATACTTTTTATTGCAGAACAAGAACGATATTCACATTTTTTAATCTATCGAATATTTTAATGTAATAAATAAATTGTCTAGAGAATAATATTTCAAATATTAGAAAATAATTCTATCTCGAAAAAGAAAGAATTTGATGATATTTTACCTGTAGATGATTTGGTATAAGAAAAGTAGAAAAAAGAAGAAAAAAGAAATGTTTTATCATTCGTTTACATGCGTATATAGTTGTTTTGATTTACTTTTCTTACTGTAAAAAATAAAAAACAACGTATAATATGACGCCTTCAAGTCAGTGTAAACAAAAAAGCAGTTTTTTGGCGTTCTTTTTCTCATAATTTAATACGGCTCGTCCCGTAGACATATTGAAACTATGTTTTTTAAGTGAAAACTACGTTGAAAAAACAATTGCCAATGACAACAAGTCTTGTTAATGTCAATGCTTATTCAAATCTTTATTTGATCTTACTCGTCATATAGTAAGAAAAAAAGTTATTCATGTTTCTTGAGAAATCTTTTTTTTTGATTGTTGAAAGAATCGATTTTTTTGCGAACTGATAACAAAATACCATAAATACGGATTTGTATTCAAAGATTTTGACTGTCAGAATTTCATGTCGAAATGAAACAAATATCATATTCAGAATCAACACGAAAATCTGTATTGAATAATTTATTCAATACTGAAAATTAATTTTCATTCTTAGATCTCTTCACTATTATTTTCTAACATTCGGACTTGTTCCTTACATAAAGTTAAAATTTCTTGAAAACTAGTTTTAAATAATGGCTCTACTTTTCGATGCAGAGTTTTGTACTGACTCCTAATTGGTTCTAAATATGATATTCGTTTCATTGCTAGCTAAAATCGTGATGGGCAAGATTTTCGAATGTAAATCATTTTTCATGGTATTTTGTTATACTATCGGAAATATCGATGTCCCTGAAAGGCGTATTATATTTACTCATAAAGATTGTCTTGTTTTTTTGATCACCAGATGAAGAGTAAAATAAAAGAAATGGGACAAATATTGAAGCTATGGAGACTTTGATGTTTTTCGCATATTTCAGTCTTAATGCAAATCAGCAAGAAAATTGTAATCATCGACTCTTGAATGCGTTGGAAAGCTTCTTCTTTTTTCTTTCAAAATGAAAAAACATTGCTCAAGAACGTGTATTCCCTGCGAATCGTTTTATTGGTGTAAAAATGTGTTTCTTTCCTTGCAAAAGTCTTTTTCTATTCGTTCATCCTTATTTGTGATTTTTATCTTATATACATCATTCTATTACAAATATATCATCGTCACTATTGCAAAAGTCGAAGTAAAGTTGATATATGAATGATCCTTCTACTGATTTAGCTTTTCGTTAGACCATCATGGATTATTTGAGAATGTTGGTTCTACTTTAACTTTTGCAATATTAACTACGATATATGTTTTCCGAAATATTTAGGGTATTTAACGCAAAAAGTTACTAATGTTCAATAAAATGATGTAAATATAATAAAATAATTAATATGAATGAATGGAGAGAAGAAGACTTTCGCAAGGCAAAGAAAATGAAAATATGACTTTTGTTAATCACTAAAAATGTGAATCATATCAATTCATATTATCATCATTGTATTTGTAATATAAGTTTCAATAGAATCAGAAATATTAGATGATTTGGAGACAGCAATCTAAGTATACCCATTTGATAGATTGCTTTAGGGCGGTAAATTTTCACCTAAACATATATGGGATGATATTTGTAGCTAAACTGCATATTGTTACACAACGAATTTTCACTAAATAAATTTTATATTGATATATCGAAACTTTCCTTTGGTGAAACTCAACATTTCTGAGATATAAGTTTATACGTAGATCGTTTATCTCTATGAGCAGTATCTACCAGATAGATATTTTTGAAGATTCGAAAACAAAAATCAAATGAAAATTTTTCATTTACAAGTAAAAAAAGCAATGATTTGTATAAAAATATTTATTCAATTAAAATACTGCATATGAAAGTGTTTTTTCGATTCAATTTCATTATAACACTAGAAGTTTGTCAATCAGTGACGTAAAAAAAAAGAAAACTAAATGAATATTTTCACAATGCATCAATTTAATTGTTAAAGGAATAGAACATGTTAAAATGTTTAAAGAAACAACAAAGAGAACAGAAAAAACTAAATAGACGATGGCTGTACGAATTATTTATTAATTGTTTTTTGAGACAATGAAAAACAGTGTATGTCAAAGTATATGAAAAAACAAGTAGTTGAACTATAATCTCTTTAGAATGAATTGAAAATGTCATAAATGTAATACTCTAGCTCTGAATCACTAGAAATTATGCTAAGAATATTTAAAAAAAAAGTTCCGTTTTAATAATCGTTGTATAGGAACTAAATTTGACAGAGTTCTTACATCAATCAAGATAAACTTGTTTTATTTATTAGTGTTTATTGTGTGTGTTATATCATTATTTCTTTCTTTCCTAATATTTAAAGAGATTCTGCAGAAGTCTAATCATCTGTTTATCTTGAGAAGAAACCTTTTGTTTTTGGGAATATATATTTTAGTATGATATTCGAAAATGTCTGTCTATTTATTAGCAGATCTGTTTTTTTTTTATAACAAAGCGCATGAATTCAAATATTTACTTATTTTTGCAGGAAAAAAATCATGAATCAATTAACACATCACATGCATTAAAGCTAATACATTTGAATGATGCTTTTTATAGCACTGATTGAAGAGAAAAAAAAAACCAATCCCTTTAAACGCAAAAGAAGCGTTCTTTTTTTTTTTCGAAAAGTTGCCGTTGAGATGCTGCTTGGTAAATTTTATTTCATTGGCTGTAATTATGTGGAAAACAATCCCTTTAACGCATAACATTTCAGCCAAGTGGTTGTATGCGGATCGTATTCTTCAGTCTAGGAAAATTGTGGAAATCTTTGGTTATGCCTGAGAATATATAAAAGCTTTAAATAGTTTGAATTTGAATTTCTTTTTTTTTGTGTACAGTGAAATTTAAATTCATAAGAATAAAATCTTATTCTTAAGTTATTGTCAATAAAAGTTTTATTCAAAAATAAGTTAAACTTAACTCATTGCATTGTTTAATCGTCAAAATTTGAATTTAATTAAAGCTTATTTTTATTTATATCATCACTTATCATCTTCAAGTTTATTATTTAGTATTCCAAAAGAAAGTAGGTATGCAATTGATTCATTTTTTTCCTAGTATGAATCATACTACAAAGAAGAACATAATTTTAATCCATTCAGCACTAGCGTAGTTTATAGACTACGGTTACTTCCATTGTTTTAAATTTTGAATAATTCTGGTAGACTAAAAGATATCGAGACATGTTGATGCAAAATTGTCTGCTGACGTCCAAGACGTTATTAATTTGGTTTGCTAGTGTACGAAAAGTGAATAAAAAACGCTAAATAAATGAAAGAACTTTATGTTTATGTGAATTTAAAGTCGTCGTTATAATATTTCACCTATAAATATGATTCACATAAATTTTCATTATATATTTATATTATATGATGAACGTTAGCCTCAAAAGAGATCGTAACATGGGCAATTTTTGTCCCTCTATGTATGTTTTAATATCATGAACTGTACGCTAATTAAGCATCACACATTGCATGAATAATCTAAAAACATTTTAGAGTATCTAATCCGGTATTCAAGCAAAATAACACCCCTCGATTCAGTTTTTTTCGGAAAAAGGCTACAAACTTCAATAATGTGCCATAATTGTAAAGCAGTTCTATTTCAGTAATTATTAAGAGTTACTATTTCAAATTCATATCATAAATAAAGGAGAGTTGGGATACGATTTTGCTGAGAAAGAAAAAGTTTCCATTTATTTTGAGCGAGCAGCATAAAGACAATCAACATTTACTAATAACAATGATTACACAATTTCAAGAGTTTCTAACTATCGTGTTCAAACAATGGTGCTGAAAGAATCAAAGACGCAATTATGAACTTTATGCCGATATAATCCCAGTTTGCAAGTCAATTGTTATATTGAATTATCTAATAGAAATATTTTGTATGGACTGTTTATTCATCGATGAATAAATCACCAATAGTACCAATGATCAATACAAAACAAAAATATGTCAAATATTAATAGTATAAAAATCGAAATAAATTTTATTAAATAGCAAAATTGATCGAAAACAAAGAAATAAGTGCATTGAATACAAATATAAATGAGTATCTGTGAACTACATGGACAACCATGATTACCTTCGTTTCAATGCTAATAGACAGCGATAGTTACTTTGATACTTATTTTTAAAACAGTTTGTCAAATTAAAAAATAAAAGAAACCATGAATGTCCGTGTCCATAATAAATTCTTGCAGTTTTGTTGATGTTCATGGATGTCTCTAGTTTTTACAAGTATTCAATATAAACACATGAAAATTAACATCATGTAAAACTCATTATATTTTTTGTCCAAACATAAGTTATAGACGTTGTTTTACAACCAATTAAAATTGTACAAAAACAAAAAGAAACTATCAGCATGACACTTTGTTTTGCAAAATACTGCTTTCGAGTAAAAATAATGTCATTTTACATATTTTTATACACAATCACTAATTTTTTTTTTTCTTATAATTAGACAAAAAATTGTGTAGATTCATATTGAATCCTATTGTTAATATTGCTATCACTAGTATCATCACTATGGTTCGTAGCACCATTTTCAGCTTGCCTAATCATATGAAACTAATAATAGACAAAGAAAATATTGAAAAAAAAAACAAAATGATATTTGTTGCTTTTTTTTACATACTGAAGTGCTAAACTCGAAAGAACTTTCTAAACAATCTTCAGCTCGTTGTTGTAGTTCAATATCAGCAACCATTTCACGTCTTTGAATAGTAAGATTGGCACGTTCAAGAGCAGCAGGAAATTTAATATCATTTTCAATTTGATGTAATTGTTTTATGATCAGATTTGTTACTGGTCGTCTAACATCAAGCACATTTGGTAAATTCTGTGTAATAGATTCATTAATTGGTTCATTTTCAACAAGTGTAGGTGTGGTATCATATTCATCAGCTACAGCACCATCATCTATCTCATTTTCAAAGAAATATTTACTGGTTGAATTAGGAATATAATTTTCATTTCCAATTAGATACACTCGAATTGGTGAAAGTTTTTTCACATAATTATAAATAATATCTGCATATGGATTTTCATTAAAATCAATACGTTCATTTGATGGTAAATAATCATACAATGTGTAAACTGTCAGTTCATAATCATCAAATAAATTATTACCTAATATTAAAAAAAAACAAAATAAATTATCGTATCAACGGAACATTAATTGTTCCTCACATAAATGTATGAGACGTTCTTGACAGTCATATAAATTTTCATCAGTTGTGTTCAATGGAATAATTAATATATGACAAGCGTTTATCTAAAATTTTTTATAGATATTATTAATCGAATGAAATAATTAAGCAATACCTTTCCATTTGTAAAATGCTGTTGTTTTAAAACATTAGCTTTTTCTTTTAAAATAAATGCAGGACCTATATGATTTAATGCAAGTAATTTTCTAGATGTGTCTTCAAAAAATTTAACAACACTTGACTTTATTTTATATGCTATAAGTTCTTTAATAACAGGAAAAACATTATTACCATGAACTAATGCATTACATTTTGGTTTTATACATATAAAAATAGCAAATACATGATGTTGTCTTTTTAGATCTTCTAAATGTACTCGTGAATTTTGATCATTTAAATCCATAAGTAATACAATAAAAGAATATGAATTCGAATGAGTAACTACATGATTTTTAAGATCATTAATATCCGAAAATGTTTGATGATCGATACCAGGAAGACATATTGCTGTAGATTGTGTATTAGTAGTTGAACTACATACTGCTATTCGAAGAGCGTGAGACATTTTCAATTAAATACTTAACAAAAAATATCTCTTTCGATCGCTTATTTTTTCTCAATAATATAGATGATGTTTTATTTTGACAGAACGAAAAAAAAACAGTTTGATGAGTCATAGATATAAATTGAAGAAATTTTTGATTGATGTTGCTCTTACGACGTTAAGATATAATCAATTACATTTAAATAGGACAATGTTGTTGAGCAAATGAAAATGTAATTTCTAATTATTTCATTTTTTTTGTTGAGATTTTCGTTTCATAGATCATATATATAAATGAAGAAAGATGATTGTGTATGATTTCTAGTTTCACTTTGTTTTTCTTTTCTTTTTTTTTTTTTTATAAAGTAAACGTTATTCATATTGTTTCGTTCATTGAATATTTAAAAAGATAATGTTCAAATAATATTGATTTCGATGATTCATTTCTTCTGGTTGTTTGTCGTAATCGATTCAAGTTTTTACTTTAGTCAAATAATTGTGTTTTTTAAAACTGCTATATTAATATTAGCAGCTGTGACGAGTACTTCAGCTTTAATAATATTATCAAATTTCTTATTGTTCACAGCTACAGCAGATCGACATTAGAAGTTCGTTTTCTATTAATTACATAAATATTTCTGCTTAATTTTTTTCTCTTATACATCATTTATTATAGAAGAGAGGGGTGTCATAATATTCATAATTCGGATATAGAGATTCAAAACATAGCTATTAGAATATTAACTTAATGCATTCACAGTATCCATATGCCACTTAATCAAAGGTTTTCAGTGTATTTTATGTAATGAGATGGATATCCAATTCCATATTCATATGTCTCCTGACTTTAGGATATGCAGATAGATCTTATCTTGATACTTTCCCACGCCTAGAAATCCATCCACACCTACATTTCGTCTTTCACTCGTTATTTTATCCCTTTAGGATTGTTTTGTTTGTGTGCTGATGTCACTTATTACATTGCTCTTCTGTCGTCAAATCTGATTGGTTTTTTTTATTTCTATGGTAGAAATATATTATATTCATTTCTCGTCTATTATTGGTCATTATCTTTTACATCGTTAACTACTACCTACCAGTAACTCTTAATAAGATTGTTGAATAGTTTAGTTATATGTAAAGAACAACGAATTTTTGGTCTACTCTGTCAACATAACTTCTTCAGGTTTCTGCTTCCATATTGCTTTAATAGATAATAACATCATTGTACACACTAGTGACTTTGACTCTACTATAAAACCATAATTATCCTAGTGAAGTTATTCATAGACGAGTAATCATAAAGTACTCACGTTAGAAGTTATGGATGTTCATATAATAAATATTATGAAGACTAAAAAAAAAACTAATGTACGTTTCAAAATATAATGCGTCCCACTGTTTTTTTGAATAACTCAAGAACGCAATCAGCTCGAGACCTGCGGTTTTCATCAATCGAAAGAAGAGACAGGGGGGCGTCTTTCTCTCCAATATCGTATCAGACGGAATCATTTTGAAACCAGTCATTTCTGTATAACATCGAAAAAATGGTCTGTCATTCAGATGAAATTTTGACAAAAAGTAAAAAAATTTCCTTCAAAATTAAAAGAAATTCATAGTTTTCTTGCGGTTAAATAGACGATTTTATTTGCTAAATGTTAGGATGTGGTAAGATAATCATTCGAATTATATCCTGAAGTATAGATCCGAAGTCCCTCTATCTAGATCACATGTCAAAAGGAAAATTTCTTCAGAATGCCGGGTCGTTTTCATGCATTTTTTGCAATGTTTTGCAGAAATGACTGATTCTAAAATGATTTTGTCTGATACAATATTGGATAAAAAGACGTCCCCCTGTCTCTTCTTTCGATTGGTGAAAACCGCAGATCTCTAGCTGATTGCGTTCTTGAGTTATTCAAAAAACAGTGGGACGCATTATATTTTGAAACGGACATTAGAAATATTATATTATATGTGTATTTTCTTTTTTTTTATATACAGAATAGAAATAAAATTTTCATAGTTAGACAATATGGTAAGAAAGAACAACAATATATGTATTGAGAACAGTGAAAAATAAAAACCTGCATCAAAACCTTATTGTATCTAAAAGAAGTAAGACATTTTTGGAGATTAACAATCTATGTTGTGAACAAATTAGCAAGTCGCTTTGAGGAAAATTTTTTTCGATAGGAGTTGATTTAAACATCACTGACAAGTATTTCAGACCAAGTTCATATAGAGTATTTATTATGCTTGTGTAATTGAATTTTGCTTTGACATAGCGATCGACTTTTTCAAAACCAAAAAGTTATTAAGAGTGTTTTCAACTGCCCTGCAGAACTCTGATATAGAACAAATTACAACAAAGAATTTATTTTACTTAGTCATATAATATACGGACATGAATCTGTTACTGATTAAGACTATATTACTAGTAAAAGAGAATAACAAAAAACCAGTACATCTATAGTTATTCTATGATGTCACATCTGTTGAATTCATTTGGATAAATACATTTATAGAATAAAAAGAAGAAACCAGCTGTTCATTTCATTTTATCTCTTCGACGTTTGTGATGTAAAGTGGTTTTGATTATTTGAATGATTATGTGGTAGAAAAATATAGATCGAACGACATAAGAAACTTTGATTTTTTCTTTTTCTCGAATAACGTTATTCAATAAGCCACAACAGCTTGTATTTAATCGTATAGAAATCATAAAAGAAAAGGAAAAGGTGAATACATAAAAAATATTTTTATAACGATGTGTTTTTAACATTTCTTGTCAAATATCCACCTATTTTTCTTTAAAGTATTATATAGCCATTAAAGATATTTTATACACATTCAATATTATTTCAACATCACATTGGATGAGATTTATATTACATCCATTATCTCGATTCTTGGTTGTCTATAATCGTCTAGCTATTATGGAACTTCTTGAAATTTATATTAACTACTAGTAGGTCTCTTGATCAATCTAAATCACACAATATGTTCTAACGATCTTGACTTACTGATAAGTAAGAATATTTTGTTCAAAAAATTTTATTTTTAAATTATCAATTTTGTAAGCCTGAGATTTTGGAGACAGATTGGTAGGAGAAAATATTCGTCTTTGTCAATCGATAGTTGACGGGATTTATCATAAGACATGTTTTTAAGACATTGAAATTCTATACATCGTTTAATTTTTTTATGATTGATCTACAAATGATTACTCAAGTAAGAGGTAAAGCGAGTTAAATTATTCATCTACAGTAATATGTTTTTTCAAAATTTGAAATTGTTATTGATTTGTAACCGAATTTTGTCTAAATTCAGGCTCTTGTCTATGTCTTGTAAACAATTGAGGTAAACCAACTATTAAAAGAGATTCTTTCTATCTTTTATTGAATTACATTAGTTATCTTGGTCATATGACTTCAATGTATTTTAGTGTGTGATCTTCAATTAATAAATTTTCATTAATAATCAAAATCCGAACTCTCAATATTGACTTTAAAGGGTTCTTGTCGTACGATAACGGCTTAGGATCATTCTATTGTTGTTATAAAAACTTCGCCAGTCTTTCAAAGTTAAACTCTAGCTAAAGATTTTTCATCTTGAAGTTTTGAGTTCATTTATCTGAACCATCTTTAACCGACTGTCAGATATTATCAATGTACTACGAGCAGCATATAATTGTGAAAATATTTAGATATCGAGCAATCTTGCTATAGGAAGTCTAATATAAAAGCCATACATTTTAACTCTCCTTATCTTTTTATCAATTGAGATGTCTTTTAGCTATGTTAAATAATTACTTGAAATAAGAATAGATCAAACTTATCAATTGTAAAGAAATCGTCGTTCGTTCTTAATGTTAGAGCAGGTGAAACGTAGGAAACGAAAATAAGAGTTTTGTTATTATTAGAAATTCTATGAGTTATATGAGTTTTATATTGTGTGTCTTTGTAGAACTGATTGATTAATTAATATATTAAACGCACCAGCTTTTAACTGGTTCGATCCAATCGCAAAAAAATCCGATCAGTTTCAAGTATGAGCTAGGTTCAAAAATAATTACAGATCAATCTTATATCTGAAATGTATATCAATAACTACGAATGTCTCCATATCTTTGTAAACTGTTATATTAATTCATCGGAAAAAAAACCTGTGCATACCATTGACACTTTCATTTCAAATATCGAAGGATTAAGAAGAAATTTCTTAGTATATGATATAGAATGATTAATTAATTAAAAAGATATTTAAAGTAAAGTTATACATGATTGGTATGATTCAACTAGATTCATTGAGTCATTTTCAACAATGAAGCCTTGATATCTCTTTCGTAGCGACATCTTATTCATGCAAAACAATGAATAAATGACTCATACATACGTCACAACATGAGTCATTGATACTCACGAGTTCTCGCCATCGAATATGTACGTCTATTTTTGATCCATTCTTTCGAACAACATTCATATTAACATCAAACGCATTTTCTTGATTACTCATCAATTTTACATATATATATATATACAATTTGAAAAGAAATCCTTTTCATTCTAGAATAAAAGAAACAAAAAACAAAACATGATGAATGCATTGATGGAAAAACTTCGTCCACGTCCTGAAGCTACACCAGCTAGTCTTAAACGTGAAACAAATGAATATTTACAACGTGCAGCAAATCTTGAAAAAAATAAACAATATGATGAAGCATCTGTACTTTATAAACGTGTTATATCATTAATTACATCACATGAAGGTACATCAGCTATTGATGATGAATTACAAACAATTAAACGTAATACAAATCAACGATTACTTCAATCATCAATACACCAAAATCGATCAACAGATTCTAATGGAATTTATCAAAATATGGTTCGACAATTATCAGATCATGTACCAAAAACAACTCATGAACAAGATTTAACTGAAATGGCTGAACAAGTTTTTGAAGATCCAACAGCATTTCAACCAATAACTAATAATGATGCACGAGAAGAAAGCAATGC